GAATAACGGTTAACCGCTTATTCCACTTGGCTGTTTTACTCGTTCTCCTCCTGCCATTTGATTCATCAACGAAAAGGAATTCTTTGGAATTCTTTCGTGCTAGGAAATTCGAAGTGGTTTCTGGTTCACCGTTATTTTTTATCGACAGAACTCAATCGAATAATCGACTTAAGATGGATAAATGGGACATAAAATTATCCATCAAGTCTGGTGGCGAGTGGATGGTTTGCTGGAAAATCGAATGGAATGCGTTTACTCATTCCTTTTTTTTTGCACGCGCCTGAGTTCGCTTAACCTCTTTCCTGTTCATTGTTATCGAAAGTGTAAGAGTTTCACGAAAAATTATGCTGTGAGTTATACATGTTGATAATAAATTAATTTAATTTCATAAAATTACTTTTAATTTAATTATAATTCTATATTTTTTAAATATACAATGAGGAATAAATTTAAATCGATATAATATATTATTTAATATTTATTTATATTTTATAATAAGATGTGAAAAAAATTATATATATTAATTTTCATTTATTTTATTTTATATCAATTTGTAACATTTTTATTGTATATTGTTAAATTTTTGAAAAAATTAAATTAAAATTGAATCGAAAACAATTTTGATTATAAATTAAAACAGGATGTATTAATATTTTTATATATTTATATAAGTAAAGTAAATATTAATTAATATAATATAAATTTCTTTTTTTCCCAATATTTAAATAAATTATATAAATATATAAATTTTATAGGAAAGCATATTTATTGACTATTATATATATAATTATATATAATTATAAGATATATATAATATTGTTTGCAACTATTTGTATATTTTACTTTATATTTTTTTTGCGCAAAATAATAGACAATACAATTATCAAAATATTTAAATAAAAATAATTAAAAATGATAAATACATTAATAATTTAGTTTATGACATTTAATGTATTTCAAATACGTTATTATCTATATATGTAGAATATGATAAAATGCTAAAATAAATATTAAAATTGTCAAGATAATAATTTAAAAAGAATAGTATGTGAATAATTTTTATACAAATTTTATTTTTTATAAAAATTTTAAAATTAAATATTGTTATATTTAATTTTTAAATTATATTTAATATAAACAACAAAATAGATTGCAGTACATTTCTTGAAATATAGATCATTCAATTTTCAAACAACCAGAAAAGAGAAAAAAAATTGAATCTTACTTGGAACTTGTGAAAAACGTTCTTTTGATATAGAAATGAAGCGAAAAATATTTCAAGGTCATACTTTCAATGATTTACCTCATACACATTTCTATATAAGGTGTGGTATTGTTGAATAAAGTTCAATTTTTCATGAAAAAGTTAATTAAAAGTATTGTTTTCAAATAAAATTTTGTTATCGAAAAAATTTTAAAAAATTATACCAAGTATGTTCTTGATTTTGATATCAGTGAATTAATTGACATTGATAATTTTTTTTTTTGTGTCAATGGTTTATAGTTAATAATCATATATGTGTAGCAGATAATTGGCTATAATTATTCTTTTTTACGAACAAATAACGGAACAGAAAAAGATACATAAATACATGTTTGTATATTTCTATTTATAAATATTAGAATATATAAGAAAAAATAAAAAAATTTTAAAAAAATTATTTTTATTTATAAAATTAAATTTTTTTTTTCGTTAAGCAAATTTTAGATTATATAATCATAGATTATTTTTTTTTTATTTTTATATTTTATAATTTTTAAAATTTTTCTTTTTTAATTACAGTCAAAAAAATTTTTTAGAAAGAATTCTGACTCGTGTATGTATAATTATTAAATTCATTAATAATTATGAATAATATCCTGTTTAAAAAAAAGATTTAGAATTATAGATAATATTTTTTTTTTATGTTTGAATTATCTGAATAAAAAAATATTTTGATCAGTTAATCATTTCATTGATATCTAGGTTGACTATTTTATTGCAAAAAAGATCAGTTGATGTTCTACTATTTATATGTATAAATGTGTATATAAGTATCATATTAAGGTAATTTAATTCATTATTTATTATGGAGAATTAAACATGGATGTGTACATTTTCAAAATTAATATTCTTGAAATTTTAATTAATTATAGTATTTTAATTAATTAAAAGTTACAACCAAAATTAATAGTGTATTTTTATTAAATTTATTATTAATTATAAATTTATTATTAAATTTATTATTATTAAATTTATTATTATTAAATTTATTATTATTAAATTTATTATTATTAAATTATGAATTATAAATTATTAATTATAAATTTATTATTATTAAATTTATTATTTTAGTATTTAAATTTTAGTATTAAAATATGCATAATTTTCGAAAAATTTAATCTTTTCTTTTTATTTTTCATTAATTTTAATCTTTATATAAAATTATCTTATAAAAATTTTTAAACATAAATAGTTATTATTATTTAAGTTAAAAAATTAAGAAATTATATGTTCATATATAAGAAATATTTACATGTCACTTTAATTTTATTATTTATAATGGAATAAACATTGAACAGAAAACATAAATAAATTGAATCAAAATAAATTATTTTTCTATAAAAATAATTAGAATTGTATTTAATTATTATTCAAATTAATTTCAGTATTTCGATAAAAAATTTTGAAATTAGAGAAATTTATGTTTATTATATATAATATATAAATCTATGTTTATATATATATTACATATAATCTAAAAATATGTAATTATAGAATATGTTCATATTAAAATATAATTTTTTAAAGAATATATATACAATAACGATGTGCAAATTTAAAATCAATTTATGTAAAACTCATTTTTATGAATCATAAAATATCTATTATAAATATTTTTTTAGATATTTTTGAAAGCAAAAATATGTTCTATATGATCTTTAAAAAATTAGAAACTTAAGAAAAAAAAAATGTTAATCATCAATGTTAATCGTGAATGTAAATGAAACATTCGAATCTATTTTATGAAACAAATGCGGAACTCTCTCCTTTTCTCTTTCTCTTTTCCCCAAATCAATTTGATTGAAAAGTTAATTTTTCATTTAAATCAAATTAATTTGCCGCTCATTATTCGAGAAACAATGATAAACGATGATCGATCATCGTTTCCATGCTTTCCACACCAATAATAATAGCCCAATATTTTTCATCCGTCAATATTTTGCCTCGATTAATTGCTAATGTAGTGAGAATCACGTGAAAGGAAAGATATACACGGAAATGGCGCATCGGTTGGATACGATCGCGCATCGAACTTTCGCCAAAACAGATCTCACTGACCCACTGCAACCGGTAGTCGCGTTACGATCGAAAGAACATCCATCGCAATTTCACGGACTACGACGCACGAGCTGCTATTAACAGGTTGATCGATTGTGAAACGTAAATTAATCGGTATTAATATTTTCATTGTATTTTCATTGAATAAGACAATGAATAAAATGAATAAAAATAACAATGAATAAAACTAAAAGAAAAAAATGATTTTTATTATTTCATTTATTTCGTTTCAATTTATTAATATTAGAGAAAAGAATAGTTACGTGGAACTTGAGTTTATTTTTTCGAAAATTAATGCATTGCAGTCAATTTCTATTGAATATTGTTTTAGATTAATGCACTAAAATAATATATAATATGTCGAAATGCTGGATTAAAAATTTTGAGAAGGAGGAAATTGCAAAACTTAGATATGTGTATGTTATAATGTGTTCTATAAATTGAATCACTGATAACTTATGAAGATTGATCTTAGTATTTAATTAAAAAAAAAAAAAAGAAAAATGAATAAATAAGTTTTGGCTTTGAATTTAATCTATATCTAATCTTAATCTTTAATCTTTTTTCATGTTTAAGAACTTCAAATAAAAAAGAAATTCATCAAGAAATTTTATTTGAGAAAGTAAAGATACTTTTCTATTTTGAAGTTTTTGTGCGAGTATCAAATCTTGACTAAATGAAAATTTTTATTTACGTGGATATATTGAGTATAATATTTAGTAAACTTAATATTATTCTTTTTATTATTGCTTTTATGATATATATTAATATAATATATATATAATATTAATATTAATATTATTATATATATATGTATTGATTTTTTTCACGAAGTGCATAACACTTGCATTCCTTTAATCATACTTTTTTTTTATCATTTTTTGAAATTACGATATATTATAATAAGAATATTATAACAAATATCATTGTAATGCGATATATAAGAAGTAATAATGTGAATGATAAATATAGTTGAAAAAATTGTAATTTGCAAAAACTTTTGGTAAAAGAAAGAAGGAAACTTTCAGATAATATAATTTATAGATATAGAATGTTGTATATGTATAAACGAAAGTGAATTTAACGATCCATCCATTCCATGATTGAAATATAATAAATTTATATTTTTATAATATTTATATAATTACAAAAATAAATTGTCATTTATATCTTATTATAATAAATTATATTATTTTTCTATGTACTATATCTATATTTTTATTATATAAAATTATGTTTAATAAATAATTATTTATAAAAAATTCTTGTTTACCAATTTTATGATCTTGATATATAATTGTAAAGTATAATTTTGAACAACTTTTCTCTATGTATGTTATCATCAAAAATTCATTTGATACTTGATAATATTATTACTCTCTCTTCTACTAGAAACTGAACTACACTATTCCTTTTGCAGGAATAAAATACGTGACGTGATTATCTCCTTATACGTGATTGTTATTGCTAGATTAGACAGAAATAACAATACATCACGTGACATGATGCGACGTTTGGCTTTGGCAGAAGACTGGTCATGTGATGTGTATCTTTGCCTAATATAGCAGTATAGTGGGGGGTTAATGTATTTTCGTATTCTCCACTTAGAAGAATTGAATAGTTTTAATGATAGAGAAGATAGTATACATTTAGTATTCTAGTTTGTATAAAATTATGATTAGATTAGATAATACTAGTTTAAATCAAATATGTATCATTATATATATGAAACTTCTATTTGAAAGATCCTCCATCGATTGATCGATCGATTTATAAATACTATAAATAAAAAATGAGGTTAAGTTTGATATGAAGTAATTGGTAATCAATATAAGACATATGTTGCTATAATTATAGACAGAATTCATTATAGAGTTACAGAAATAGTTTTTTCTGAGTATCTTGACATCATGATATAAGATCATGATATATTATATACCAATATAATGGTATAGAAAAAAAGAATGTTGAGCTTGAAAACATATTTTAAGGTTATCGAAAATGAAGAGAGGATCTTGTATAATATCATAAATTATTACAGATATTATATGATAAATATTATTACTTATATATAAAAATACGTGACAATTCTTAATGATTTATTAAATTTTGACACTATTATTTCGAAAGTCATATTTTGAATACGTGTTCATGGTGACATACTTAATCATAACAGTAATCGCAGATACCGTCCAAAATTTAAATTACTTATGTACTTCCTGTCGTTTATGTTATAATAATTAAAGTTAAAAATCAGTACATATTTTATATAATCATTAAACATTAAATGTTTTTTTCTTACTTTATTCTTAATTAACTTAATTTTTAGTCTTTAATTTTAATTAGTTTTAAATTAATTAGAAAATTAGACAATCAAAGTTACTAGCTTATAATAATATTATAAATAAAAATTTGATAAAATGAAAAATTATATTAGATATATAATTAAGAAATTATCATATCTCTTTTTCTGGGACATCGATTGATTTCATAAATCTACAAAAACATTTTCTATTATTATCTATATCACTATTACAGTGATTATAAATATTAATAAATACTATAAGTAATACATAATAATGTTCAGCAATTTTCTCGTCTTCGAATCTTTTTTACCCTCTAGAAAAATATTTAAAAAAAAAAATGTTTCACGAATATATTAATATTTTATATATATATTCTAATATTATAATATTTATAAATTTAAATACTTGTAACAATAAATTGAATTAAGATTAAATATTTATCTCATATACCTATGTTTTTTTCGTTTCAGTTGACAATACCAGAGTTTAATATAGCATGCCAAATCAAAAATGGATCAAAACGAGCATCTTTATATTGTTTTTCCTTGGCACTTTGGAAATCTCCATTGGTATGTAAATTGTATTATTTTTTATTTTAATTTATTATTTCTCATTATTAATAATTTCTAATCTTTAATCTTATTATTATCTATTTTTATTTTTAATTAATATTAAAAATTTGTATTGTAATTATATATATATATATATATATTTATTTATTTATTTATTTATTGCCAATAGAGATAGGAAAACAAGATCATAATTATCTTTTTTTAATTATTTAATATCTTTTTTTAGTATAGTAGTAGTTTCTTTTAGTATAGTATCTTTTTTTAATTATTTAATTATTTAATGACCATTTAATTTTAATTAAATTCATATTTATTCATTATATTCAATAATTGTGTTACAAATAAATAATCTCATCAATTATGATGTTTATATAGTTATGTTTTTTTTTTTAACAAAAAAATAATAGTATTGTTAAAATTCATAGATAGTTTATAGAGCATATCTAATTGATAATAAAATGAAGTAATCGTTTGTTTCGATAAGAACAAACAAATTTTCATCTATTCATGATAAAAAACGAAATAATTGATTAACGATAATGATACATTTTTTGAATGAAGAAGAGAATTAATTTTTAAGATTTTTTGAAGAGAATTAATACAAAAATTCCAGAAAATCAGTATATCAAATTCATAATATCAAAATTATCTTGAATTTTTCAATTTTTCATCTATATTTTGTATGCTTTTTTTTTTATTTTTCAACAAACTTCACAACTTTTAAAAATATATTTCATATAATCTTTTTAATTTTTCTATTGCATTAATATACATATAATAATTTTTATGTGAAAGTTGCGAAAATATAGAATAAAAAGTTAGAATCTAACAAAAACATTATCCATTTATATTAAATAGGTTTCATTATAATATATCTTTAGGGAAATTACATGATAGTTTATTACTCATGAAATTGAAAATGGAGCGAAACGTTTGTAATATCATAACCTCATTTTGGAGAAAGTATTTGAAATTTAAGTTCGGTTCGGTGATTTCGATTTATGATTACGAATTATGCTATTTTTTAAATATGTTAAATATTTTTATTGTATCGGAGAAATTATATAATTTAGGTTGATTTAGGCCATAAAATAGATTGTATAATAAAATATTATATATAATATTATATATACAACATCATATGTATAACATTGACATACTTTCTGAATTTATTTATAAGAATTAAAATTATGAATTTATTAAAACTTTCAATAAAATATTTTATATTTAAAACAATAATTTTTATTTAATGATAAAATATTTTTTCTATAATATTTTATCGTAAAATAAAATATTTATATGAAAATAATTTCCAAAATTATTTTATTGATCTAATCGTTATTTATACAATTATAAACGAGATAATATCTCACAATATAATCTCATTCATGAAATGTTTTTCTTTTTTTATAAATAATAATTATAGTTTACATAGTTTAAATATATTCTTAATTTTATATCATGTTATTATTTTTATTTTTTGCTAAAATTCTTTAAGTATTTAAAGATTTTATATAAGAAGAGAAAATTATAGATTGCTTCAAATTACTCCATTTTTTATTTTAATAATTTATGTTAATCAATTATTTTAATTTATTTATAAAACATATTATTTATCTAAATGAGGAATAAAAAAAAAAGAATTTGTAAAAATATAAACAGATTTCATATATCTTTATGGATAGAATTAAAATTTTATAGTCAGAATCAAGCGACATATTATTTATGTATACTTAATCAATTTGAAACAAGCACACATTCGATATAATTTTTATATGTTATTGATCAATTAAAGTGATTAAATTTGAGATAATTAATCAATTATTAAAGATAAGTTAAGTAATGAGTGATTAATAAATATATGACTTATTTTTTAATACAAATTGTTATTATAGAATTTTTTTCTTGCCCTTCATTAATTTTTTTTTTAAAATTAAATAAAAATAATTTCTTTTTTAATAAAAAATGTTATATTATTTTTTATTATATTTTTATTATATTATTATTAATTTGTATTATATTTTCAGAATATATTATTTTTATTATTACATATATCATATTGTTATTATATATATTATAATATTTTATATATAGAATTATTACAATTACAATACAATAGCAATATAAATCAAATTTTATTTTGAAGTTGACAATTTAATTAGATTAATTATTATTTTATATGAGTTAATTTTATATGAGAACAATTTTATGAGCGATAAAAAATAAAATAAATTTTTTACGTTAGTACAAGAAAAATAAAATCTAAAACATTTTATCATTTGAATTTTAAATTCATATATTATATAATAAATTATATAATATATAATAAATTATTAAATAAATGTTTTTCTTAAATATAATAATGTTTTCTTAAATACTTTTCATAAAAAATGAAATTTATTCTTCAGATGTTAAATAACGTGTACATAAATTGTAATTGAAGAAACAAACGATTGTCTAAACAGATGTGTACATCTATATATGTAAAAAGTTTATCTTCTTACTATATAATATGAAATCAGAATTAGTATTTTCTGTTATTTGTATTATTCAATTGACAATTGTTCTATAATTTAAATAAAAAATTCATTAATTAATTATAAATTCTCGTTTCAATTTTTTCAAAGAAATTATAGTTAAAAAAATTGTTATTTATCTAAGATTTCGTTGTATAATTTTGATTAATATTGACAACATTTCATTGTAAATTAAAACTAAAATATATAATAAATAAAAAATAAAAGAATAAATTAATAAATAATTATTAAATAATAAAAAATATTTAAAAGCAAAAGATTTACATACTTAAAAAATGAAAAAAAAAATATATTGCTGCATAATTCTTCTGATTAATTTATTGTTTCTGCACACAATTTAAAGTAAAAATTCTAATATAAAAAATCCATAATGTAAAAATTATCTGTTAAATATTATTACAATAAATAAGATAATCATAACAACTTTCTAAAATATTTATAGAAATATATTTTAAAAATGAATCTTTCTCAATGAGAAAATGAATATCAAATAAAATTTTTCATCATGTAGAGTGTCTATATTGAAACAACTAAAATATTATTTTCGTTTTTAATAATATATGAATGCTTTTTCAAAAAAAGTTCTATATATAAAATTTTTTGTGTCGTAATTTTTTTCAAGTTTCTTTTCGAGAAATCTTTTTTTTTTATATGTTGCATTATGTATATATTGCATTATGTAGGAATAATTAGAGGTTTGCTAATTACTCTTATCGAAGAGTTCATTGGCATATCTACGATGAAATATATTCTTTCTTTCTTTCTTTTTTTTGTTCTATTTTTTTCTTTTTTCATTTTCAACATTACAATATTAATTGTTGCGAATAGAAAAATTATGGTTAAATAGAGAATAATAATAATAATAATAATAATAAATAATTCGAGATAATAGTACTGCAAAAAATATGTAGAAATTTAAAAACATATTTATAAGTTATTTTATTTATAGTTGTATAGTATAGTTGTATAGTATAGTTGTATAGTTGTATAGTATATTTTAATTATAGTTTTATTTATATTATATTTATAAGTTATAAATAAAATAATATACATTTATAACAGTTCTATAATGAATAATTTTAAAATTTTTTTTAAATTTATCTTAAGGAAAATCAAATTATTTTGTTTCATCAATTTCATCATCACAAAATATTAATAATAAATCATAATACTTGATATTTATTTTTAAATAATTATATATACATATAATATATATTATATATTTAATGATATATCAGATATAGAACTTAATTCGGTTTTTTTTTTTTTTTATTAAATCATTTTTAATTCTGATTCGTACATTTATAACATTCTATTTGAGATTTATTATTATTAATTAATTTTATGGAATAGTATTTTGTTATTTATTTAATTTTTCAAACTATCAATGCAAATCGCTATTATTATAAAAATGATGAATTTAAGAGGAAAAAATAATCTATTGATGAAAAAACATTGTAATTTTTCAAATACACGTTGCAAATAAAATAAAAAATATTATTTGTTGAACCAAAAAATTTTTTTTTATATGTAAATTATTTTTTTAATTTGTTTTTATTTGATTTTTATTATTTATTTAGATTGTTTCGATATCATTTAATAGATACACACTTTCAAACAGTTTTTTTTATTTATTTTGTCAAGTGATTCGAAATTATCCGAGAGATGGAACAATGTTACGAAACTATATATATATATATATATATAACTATATATATAACTATATATAAATAAGAAATATTTTAAAGAATAAAAATTGTATGATTTCTCTTTAACTAGAGTTAAATTTAATATCTTGATATCTCTTCTTTTAATAAAATCTTTTGTCTATGAAATTTCTATGAAAATATATATAAATATATATATTTCTTCGGTCAACGAAAATTTTTTTTTAAATTGAGAAGAAACTCTTTGCGATTAATGTGAAACTAATAAAGTAAGATTCGATCGAATTCAACACCCTATAAACGTTAGTGTATTTAACATTACATAAATATATATAACGTTCTTGTATATTTACGACCATTCCGCAAAAAATTGATTACTATGTTTTCTAAGAGAAAAGCGTTTATTGCTCTGCTTTTACAGGAAGTCCTATCAGAGACAAATCAAAAGGCGAAGAAGAAATGCCTATGAGCAACTGGACGCGACTTGCAGACGAATGGCTCGCTTCCAGAACGAATGTGGCAAAACAATTGGAAGTCACCATTTTACCATTTACTGACTCAGTCAGAGAATTACCACCGACCGCAGAAACTTTCATCGTTAATGGTACCAGTCCTGATCAATTACAACGAGTAAGAAAATTTTTTTTTTTACTTTCACATTATATTGTCCATCTTATGTCAGATTAATGTGAAAATTACTCTCTTCGGGTAAGAAGTAGTAGAAGTATAGAATGAATGTTCTTCCTTTTTTCCCCTCAATTTTTCTTTATATGTTATTTTTATGTAATATATATGTATATATATTTCATACATTTATAAATATAGATAAATTATAATTTTCACAAATACAATTTCTTTATCTCGTCTTTCTTCCGTATTTCTCTGTTATTTTTCTTTGTTATATGTTCGACGAGACGATGTTGACTCTCACTTTCAGTGCCAAAATACTTTCACTAAGTTGATCAACAAGGATGTAAATGTATAGGGTGCTTCATGTAACTGAACAAAATCTTTTCTCCCTAATAATTGTCAAGTAAAATAAAATTATCAATGCTTCCATATGATGAATTTTTTATTTTAAGTTTTTATTGTTGAAAGATCTTAAAATTAATAGTTCAATAGATTTTAATTTTTTTTTAAAATAATTTTAATTTAAAAAAAAAATTATATAAGAAAATATCTCTAGGTAAATATAAAAAAAATAATATTTAATGATAGATGATTTGCTATATTCGTCTATAACTGAAATGGAAGAAGCTTGGTATTTTTAAAGTTACTTTTATTTTTTTATACTGTGTGTTTTTATACAAATAAATATATTTATTTATAAAAATATACATTTCCGTCAGAAATTGATTATTTTTTAAAGATATTTTAAATTGATTTTTTTAATATTATATTTTAATTTATATATGTATTTATATGATATTTATTGATATTTATTATTATTATTATTTTGAGAAATGTTTAGCCAAATACAGTAATATTTAAAATTCATTTAAAATACTTAGTTTCATTTAATTCACTATATTTTCTTCGTAATATAAAAAAGTTAAAAATCTTTTTCTTTAAATTTATTTCATATCATACATTGATTGAACATTCTTATAGATTTTATATTTATATTATAATATTTTATATTTTAAAAATTACAGTATTTTTAATGAATTTGATATTCATATTTTTTAAAAGTTAATGTAATAATTTTATCAATTATACTACACTTTTAAAACATGGTAGAAAGCAATCAGACACTATCAATCAATCACACAAATTATTTTTAACTAACAACAATCTTTTAATCAATCAAAGCAAATTACAATCACTATGAGAACTTTTGAAAAATAAAATTTATTATATATATATTATATTATATTATATATATATATATTCTATATATATATATATATATATATATATATATATATGAGTTCACACGATATAGAACAACAAAAAATCTGTTTAATTTTTAAAATTTCAAAAATATATAAATTCAATTTCTTAAAAATACAAAAAAAAAAATAAAAAATTACATAAAATAGAAATTAAATGAAATTCTGAAATTTTGAAAAATTAAAATATCTTCTAATAATAATTATTATTTTTTTAAATATTTTCTATCTATTTGTCTAATATTTTGTGACATTTCTATCCCATAGATCATTTCAATCTCATATATTTTATATCGGTATTGAAATTATTAATTACTTATTAATTACATTGTTTGATTAAGATTTTGTTTTTTTATTTTAGTTTTTTTTTTTCATATTCAGACTGATTTCAGACTGAACATCTCCATGTCTTTTATATTTATATCGTAGTATTTTATATAAAATATTTTTACTAAATAAATTTTATATATTGTTGTGCTTGCCAAACATTTTTTTTCAAGAATGTAGTAATAAAAAGCATAAGAAATTAATATTAAAATACGTAAATCAAAATATTGAAAAAAATCAATTTAAAAAGATCTTCGAAAATAATCGATTTTAAAAATAAAACTGATTTTGAAAACATTAGAACGCTTTTATTTCCGTATATATATGAATATTAAATCATTTATCATTCAATATTAAATTTATCTAAATAAGTTTTCTTTTATCTTTTAAAATATTAAAGCTATATTATGATTTGAAAGCTATGATTGGATCCAATTGCATGAAACACCCAATATACTGTATCTTTGCTGTATGTATATGTATTTATATACAGGATAATCCAATGTCATTAACTTTCATATATAATCGATATAATTCTTTAATTTAATGAAAAATTCATTATAAAATAAAGAAAAAAAAATATTTTCTATAGAGATATATTTTTATCTTTTAATATTTCGAGCGAATATTTTTCAAAAAAAGAAGAAGTAATATGGAATCTTATTTTATATTTTGTACAATTTTTTAAAATTAGAAATGTATAAAATATTCGAACATACATGAAAATTTTCGAAATTTATATATACATGAACTTTTCGAAATTTAAAAGATTTCCAATTTTCGAATGTTGTAATATTTTATTTTATTTTTATAATTCGAAATTCTTGAAATTCAAATAATTTCTAAATTTAATAAATGAAATAAATTTGTAGAAAATTGAAATTTTCGATTTGATAAATTTCTTAATTCTAAAAAAATTAATTTCTAATTATAACGATTTTTTTTTTACAAGAAGATATATATATTGTCTCTTTTTAATTATATAGTTTTCATTAATAATTGATCTCGAATAATTTTCAGTATAATTATTCTCGAATGTTGTGGGAAATGGAAAATGTGCAACCAACCGGACATTTGTCAGGGTTTGTGGATAAAGCTTTAAAATTACTAGACTTAAAACAAGTTATGATGGAAGTGGAAACATCGGTGATGTCAAAAGTGTCGTGCACAGCATGCAAAGTTGGCGCAGGCCTTCTTCAACATTACATAAAGGTCGGAAAAGACGATAAGCAAATTATGAATAGTATTTATCAATTTTGTGTATCGCTAAATATTCAAAGTCCTCGAGTTTGTGAAGGCGTTACATTGCTTTTTGGGGTGAGTTTTTACTTTTATTATATATTATTTCTATTATATTTTAATTTTATTATGTCAATAAAAGTGTCGTTTAATACTTTAAAATTATTCTGAATATTCTGAAATATACTTAGATAATATAATACGATTTACTATGATTATCATTTTAAATTCGATATGTTTTGCTCATTGCACATATAATTTAAATTAATTATTTAGAATAAAGAGTATAAATTCAATAGCTTTAAAATATATTATCAAGATTAATTATTTTGAACATTTTCTTCTCATAAATATATATATAATTGCTACTTTTGATTTTAGTTTTAAACATATAAAAATATTTTAAATATTATATATATTTATAATTTATATTTACTTCTAAAATTTGTAATACATTTGAATTATGTTTAGGATATATTGAGATAGATTAAATGAAGTTAATAAATAAATAATGTTTAAATATCAAATTTAAAATAAATTTTATTTTAAATTTTTTATTTAATTATTTAAAATAAATAAAATTTATAATTTATTTTTGTCGTAATATTTAATTCAAATGCTTTATACCTAAGGGAAGAATAATATTTAATTTTAATTTAATTTTAATGTTTCGAATCAAATAAAAGTTTAAATCAAATAAATCAAAATTATTCAATTTTTACTTGAAAGACCGGACTAAAGAAAATATGACCATATCATATCAAAATATAACTTAAATCTATTCTGGACATAATAAAGAATTGTCATAAATTTCATTTAAAAAATTCACTTATAAATACTAATAATATGGATACTAGTGTTTCTTATGATTTTCAATTAATTCCATATATATTTGATCGTTTATAACATATCAAAAAAAAAAAAAAATGCAACTGCTATATATATATATATATAAATTCATGACTTTTACACAAAACAATATTTCATCTTTTTGAAACGAAATAATTAAGTTTCAATCTATGGTTTTTTTTTTATTTTCGTGAAAAATAAAATACAATGCAAACAAAAAAAAATAAGAAAAATTTGATCTGAATCAAATCATGTTCAAGATCAATTTTATGACAACTTTTTTTGTAAATCTGCAGAGTTATAAAATTCATTAATAATCGCCAGAACAAAATATTTTTTTACATTCTGTATTTATAAAGATTCGAAACATTCAAATAAATATCATTTACAATTCGGTTTCTTTTAGTAACCAGAAAATTATACCTGCTTGTAGTTTGTAATGATTCTTTATGATTAAAAAACTATATCGAATCGACCCATTACTATACACGATTCACGTGATCCATTACTGATAAATACCATACAAAAACTAGTTTCATATATAATAATCAATGTATCAGTTATTTAGGATGGTAAATCTGATGACATTATAATCAAAATCACCAAAATTAATGACAAGCAAAAAAGTAAAGTATCCAATAATCAAATATATTTCAATAATTCATCATTATTTTCTATTCAAAATCAAATTTTATAAAATCAATTATCAACACGAAATTGAATAATGAATTTGTTTAGGGAGAAGTAATTTACGTACTCAAACAAGTTGATATGGGACCAGCGCAAATCTGTAGTTTTGTTATTGGTGACGCATGCGATGACACATACAATCCTCTACACGAGTGGGAAGTGGCATTCCCGCCGGTGAATAAACCACCAGTGAAACCACCAGTGCCTCCTCAAGAAGGTGCGCCGACCTTCAAAGTCCTTCATATCTCCGATACTCACTACGATCCTTACTATCAAGAAGGCGCGAATGCGGATTGTAACGAACCGTTATGCTGCAGATTAACAAATGGATCGCCCCTGACACCAGCCGCAGCTGCTGGCCGATGGGGTGATTATAGAAAATGCGATACACCGAAGAGAACCGTTGAACATATGCTCAAACATATCGTCGACACCCATTCTGTAAGCAATGATTAATTATTGAATAATTATTAATATTATTTAAATGGATTATTCAAAATGTTTATTCCCTCATTTTTCTTTTTAATAGAAATTCAATCTTTTCTCCTGTCGCTGCATATTAAAGTCGACGATCGAAATTGCAGAATTGCTAGATGTGGATCCTATGCTATCCCATTACCACTAAACGTAATTCAATTTCTATGTAACGTTATTATCTTCACTGCTATAGACACGTCACGTGTAACGCTTGGCTTGAGGCTTGATTATCACATGACATTGTATACATTCATCAGAACTTGGTTAGATAAAATGTGCTTATTCTATTTCATCTTTTCTATTATCATGCATATTATCACTATCGGCTGAGAAAAGTAATAAAAATCGACGATAAGTGAAGAACTAGAATGATTTTACAGTATTGATCTCTCAATTGAAATATCAATTATAAACAAATAGAATTTCTTTAATTGGGAGACTTATCGTTTAACTGTTCTAACAAATGATATTGCATTGATGACAGAAGAGATGAAATGTGAGAGCGAGAGAATAGATAGAGTAAATACTCTACGATTTTCTGATGAACTATATATGTATATCTAATTTAATAATAGTAAGATAATATGATGTATTTCTATAGAAATTCATCGAAGGGGAATTGACCCATATTTTAATGGTAGAGAATAGCATAGTGTCCGGTAATTAGTAATGATATGCATTCGTTCAATTATGTCGATTTCGATGATATTGAAAAAATTAAATATAAATTTTAAAATGCAAATTTTAAATTAAAATTCTTCTAGATATATTTTGCAGAACTTTCAATTAAAATATCCAATATAATATTTGTGAGAAAAATAATGAAAAATGCATAATTTAAAAATTATCAAAATTTTAAATTGATAATTTCGTCGAGTCAAATTATTATACAAAATAAATATTTCTATTTAAATTATTTTTAAAATTATTTTTTTTATATTGGAAATTATTAAAGTTTCTTAAAATTACTAGATAAATATATAAAATATGGAAGAATTTCAATCTAAATAATATATCAACAAAAAAAATTAAAATATGAATCAAATTAATTTTTCTATATAAAAAATTTTAATAAGTTTGAATTTTATTTTTATTTTCAAAATTTGATAATAACGATTTAAATTATTTATTTTTATCTATTCTAATTTAATCTGAACAAAGGATGTGAAAAAATTAATCTATTTCTTAAAAAATATAAAAAGATAAATATTTTAATTTTGTAAACATTTCAATTCAATACAGGATATAGATTATATTCTATGGACCGGTGATATACCACCTCATGATGTGTGGAATCAAACGCGAGAAGAAAATTTGAAAGTTTTGCACGATACAGTAATACAGCTTATTGAAATGTTTCCCGGAATACCGATATTTCCAGCACTGGGAAATCACGAAAGTTCTCCTGTTAATAGGTATATAATAATTTAAAATCATCTTTCTTATTCATCATAAATTGATCTAATTTCTGAAAAAGGAAAAAATTCTTAAGATTTTATTTATTTCTGGCATTATTCAATTGCAATGGTATTTATTTAATAAGCAATGTTTTTTTTAACTTTTAGTCATAACTATTTTTTACAATAGTCAAATAATCTATGATTTTCATACCTTTTGATTTTTGAAAAATCATATTTAAGTGGATTTCTTTATTTTCTCTAATATAAAACGCTTAAAATTTTTCTTAAATAAGAAAAAAGTAATATTTTATTCTTTTTATTCTATTTTATTTATACAATGTAAGAAAACGAAAAATTAATAAAAATATAAAATAACTATATAAGAATAAAAATTTTGTTATCAATGTATGTTTTATTATAATTATTGAACGAAAGTTATTTCGAATTATTCTAATTCACAAATAACGAATAAACTAATTAGTTTCGATAAAATTAATTTCGATGTTATTTCGATTAAATATCGATATTCGATAAAATAATTATTAACTGAATATACGAAAAAAAATTAACTGAATATACAAATAAATAATTCAAAAGTCGGAATTGCTATAAGATAAGACTGCAGTGCAAAAAATAAATAAGTCTTGCAAGATTTGAAAAGTCTTGATCTTGAAAAAAAAATCTTTGATAATATTCTTCAAATAAAGAATACACTATATGACTGAATTAAAATTAAAATTAAAATTAAAAAAGAAAAGAAAAAAAAATAATTTTTAAATGTTTTAGCTTTCCACCATCATTTGTTCCTAAAGAAAATAGTATATCTTGGTTGTATGATGCGCTTGATAAACATTGGAGACGATGGTTACCAGCAGGCGTTTCACACACTGTTCGACGTGGTGCTTTTTATTCGGTTTTAGTACGACCAGGATTTAGAATCCTTTCTGTAAATATGAATTACTGTAATAACAAGAACTGGTGGTTGCTAATAAATAGCACGGATCCAGTGAGTGAACTTCAGTGGTTGGTCTATGAGTTACAAGGAGCTGAAATGAATGGCGAGAAAGTTCATATTATCGGCCATATACCACCTGGACATTCAGATTGTTTGAAAGTGTGGTCTCGAAATTATTATCAGATCATTAACAGGTTAGTATAGGAAATATTTAAAAGATTAAGAAACCAATCGATATAATTTACATTTTCTGAAAACAACATATGTAATTCAAGAATATTATTAAATTATTAGATTATCAATATTTATGTATTTAAGAAACAAATATTTAAACTATGATATTCAAATAATAAAATAAATCTGTATTTAAGTTTCATTTCAATTAATATAATAATTTTTTTTTAAGAATTCTATTTAAAAATTATAAATACAATGATTATTTTAATAACAGATATGAATCTACAATCACGGCACAATTTTTCGGGCATACCCATTACGATGAGTTCGAACTATTTTACGATATCGCTGATTTTGGCAGAGCTCTGAGCATAGCTTATGTCGGACCATCGGTTACTCCTTATTATGAACTCAATCCAGGGTACAGAATATATTACGTAGATGGGGATCATCCTAAAACAACCAGGGTAAATTAAAATTTTTATTTCCATAATTTGCAAAAAATTTTGAAAATATGAAAGTTAATATTTAATATAATAAATTATTTAATTATTAATTTATTTAATATTTTGTTATAAATCATTTAATATAAAATTTAATATCTAATATATTTTAAAACATATTTCATAAATTTTAACAAATTTCATTAATTAGATATGTTATGAAACATAATTATTAATTAATACTACAAATATTTAAAAATTATAAAATTATGAATACTATAAATATTTAGGACAGAGCTTTTTATATTTTTATAGAACAAGACTTCTTAAAAACTTTTAAAAGTGATCATTTTTCGCATTTTATTCATTTGTAATGCATATTTAAAAAAAGAAAAATAAAAAAAAATATTTTATTATTTTGGAATTTTGTATCGTATTTAATTGATATATAAATTCATTCATTAGATACATAATGAAATGAATATGAAAAATTTTTTGTTTTTGCTAATGATTTTGATATTCAAGAATTCTGTATTTTCAAAAATACACGATTTGAAATCATATTTAATGCGATCAATTTAATATTTTATATGTAGATAATAGTCAATTTGAATTTCTTTTAAAACTAAAAATTGAATTGAATTTTCGTAATATTTTTTTCTTTTCAAAATTATAGAAATTATGAGATCGACAAAATTTTCTGAAAAAAAAAATATTTTTTATCGTTTTACCTTATTAATATAATAATCTTTGTGATATAATTTTTTTACAGATGGTCGTAGATCATGAAACTTGGGTAATGAATTTAAAAGAAGCGAATCTTTATGATTATCCTATTTGGCACAAAATGTACAGTGCTCGACAAGCATATCAAATGTCATCACTTTTGCCTAAGGATTGGGATTCTTTGATAGATAAAATGAGCAATGAGCCATCACTTTTCGATTTATATTATAAGTAAGTTTCATCAAGCTATTTCGAGAGTTAAAAAAATACTTTAACATGTATGTTTGATTGTATGATATGTATGAAAAATTTTTTATATTATAGTTTATATGATTTTTAAAATCAATTTTGTCAACTTTTATCTACGTATATTATCGACATAAAAATTTTAATATAATTTAATGTTACTATTCCATTAATAATTCAAAAATGTTACAAATATTAATATAACAATTTCTTTTATTTCTTATAAATTTTTATAATACAGAATTTTAAATTGACTTCTTTCAAAAATTTTCTGTGAAATTCTATATTTTTAACTAATAATGAATAGAAATAACAAATATAGAAAATAATAAATATGTAATTATATTTTGTAAATATGTATTTATAATTTTATTATATGTAAGTATATTATATTATAAATATTTATTATGTCTTTCATCTAATATAGTAAAATATCTTTTAAAAAAAGATTGAAAAAAATTTTACAAAAATTACAAAAATTTTTTTTATAAAAATTTGATATAAGAAACTACATTATATAATATTAAGTTTTTTTATTTTTATTTTTTTATTTTTTTAAAATTATAATTTTTATTGTACTAATTGATACAATTCATTATTTTCTACAAAAAAATATCATATTAAATTATTTATTATTATTATCAAAAAGTTTTTAATTTAAAAAATATTATAAAATTTATAAAGTTAAAATTTGAATTTATCTAATATAATAATTCTAATTCAAAATATTTTTAAAATGAAATGATTACATATTGTTATGTTTTAGACATTATTATAAGAATTCTCCTGTAAGACCAGCATGTAGTGATGAGTGTCGAAAGAGATTACTTTGTGATTTACGAAGTGGAAGAAGTCACGATCGAAAAGTGCTATGCCAGAGTCTTGAATCTAGAATAGATAATGAAACGAGAATAGGCTGGCGAGCTTGGATTTACAACGGACTTGCATTTTCGTACGTACATAATTGGTGGTTTCAGCATTATTCTGGTGATGTTGAAACCAACAGAGTTGACGTATAATTCTACAGATATTTTTGCCTCTCAATTTCTATTCTTAGCTATTATTATTAATTTTTTTGTATATAATAATTGATACGTTTTGTAAGCATAATGAAAATATTTTGTTTATTTGCATAAATTATAATATATTTTATTATTTTAATTTTTTAATAATAAGAAATATTTTAATTTAGTAATTAATAAGATGTTCTCAGTGGAAGCTAGTTGTAATACAAAATATTCAATTTTTTTTTAAATTTTATTTGTTTTAATAATTTAAATATTAAAAAGAAAAGAGTTTATATTTTGAAAAATTATTTTAATTAATTTTGTTAAATTAATTTGAAAAAAAGAAAAAAAATTTCTTATTCATAAAATTAATTTAAAAATAATGTCATATATTAGTAACGTAAAATTGTAAGCAATTGAAATAATATTTCACAAAAGTTATACAAATCTGTGATAGAAATTTTTAAAAATAAATATTTACTTAATATTCTAATTGTTAATTAATAATATAATATATAAATTAAAAATATTACAAATACAATAGTACAAATATAAACAAGTAGTAATAACTATTAATTATTAAGTAATAGATAACAAGACCAAGAAAATTTATATTATAATTATACAAAATTTAATATGTACAATTTATTTTACTAATCTGCACGCTATAACTAAATATATATCTTTACTTTGTATATTCTAAGATGATGATGATGATTATATGAAATACTTGCATTACTAATTATGAATGAACTTTCACAAGAAATAGTTAGCACATACTAATATTAGAAAATATTATTACTATTTCAAATATCAATAGTTATCTTTTAATTATTTCTAATTTAACTATCAATCTGTACTTAACTTTCTTGTATTTAATCCTTTGAGTGTTTGTTAATATAAATATATGATAAAAAATTTTTTTGCAATCTGCTTATAACTGTTTTTATAATTATAAACAATACATTTGTTATATTATGAAATAATTATAATAAATATAAAATATATTTTAATTTTCTGTTATCTTATTTTTCTATTGTCTTTCTTTCATCTATACATTTAACAATAATATATATTTTTATTATTTATTAATAATAATATATAGTACTTCCTTATTTAAATAATTTTCTGAAACAATTAATTAAATTTCTATAAAATATACCTATTAAATATAAAATTGAACAAATTAAAAAGATATCTCTTACTAGATATTTAGTTTTGTTTATTCATAACTAAGTATCATTTTTAATCACATTTTGTTATAAAGTAAATTATTTCTTTAAAGATTTCAAGATATCTGTGTAATGTGCGAATTAAATACTCAAAGGGTTAATTAAATTAATTTCTGTTTTACTATAAATTATTATGGATTCTGTTTTACTATAATATGAATTGCTGAAAATTAGATGCATGAATTTAATATGCATAAAAAATTAAATCAGTATATAAATTAAATACGTTATTCATATGTTTCAGCATTTCCCTTGCAAGAAATTTGTCATAAAATTTCAAAAGAAATTCAGCGCGCAGTTTATATTTTTTAGTTTAGAATTACTTTACTTTGAAGTGATATAAATATAAATAAATGTCATAAATGTTATATCAGTTTAAGAAGATAAAAAATATTGATAAGAAATCCTTTTATCAATAACACAAATATTGTAAATATGTTATTTTATAATAAAATACAAAAAACTTTTACATTATTTACATATTAGTAAATTTATAATGCTTGTGTATATTAATGCTTTCATGATTTCAGCAAAAATTATTATAAATTTAAAAGGTATTTTAAAATTTGAATTATTTTTATATAATGATTGCTATAATGTAAAAATAAGATATTCTTTTTAAATATTTATTGAAAAGTTCATTATTTGTATCGCAATATATTTAGTATTTACAGTTACATTTTAAAAATTATAAATTATCTAAATAAATCAAACTTATATGATTTTCTTTTTTATTTATGAAATTTTATTTCATATATTCATATATTTATATTTATTTATATAATAATGAAAAATTAAATTTTAAATCAAATTTTTATTAATGCATTTAAATCAAATTTATTATAACATTAAATAAATAAATAAAATATATTTTTAAATATTTAAAATATTATATATTTATATGATATGTTTATTGATATATAGCACTTTGTAATTAAATAAAAAACTATTTTATGGTGATGGAACATCTAACATGGTGGTTGAAATTTTCAACATTAAACTACATTTGCTTATAGTAAGTAGTACACATGTATATAGATTTTAACTGTTTGCTTAAATTATGCTGAATGCTTCATAAATTAGTATCTATTAATTATGAAAGCTTTCACTAATATAAATTACAAATAACTTTGAAACTAATTTCTCTTTTAATATTTTAATACATTATTTAATTAATACATTATTTTCACATGTAATTAATGTTCATTAAAATTTATTTATCTTTAAAAATGCAGCATGTAAATTATATTAGTAAAAAAAAAAAGAAAACCACAAATTTTTCGATTAAAATTTTATTTATTTATTAAATTATTTTTTTTATAAATTGTATATAATTTGATATATTTTTTATATAAAATATAATAGTTTTTTATTAACAATTTATTATATATATTTAAATATAGTGAATCTTAAGAACTAAAGAATGTATAAAAAAATTTTAAAAAATGTCCTTAAAAAATTGTTTGGTATAAAAAAATACAATATACAATATTAATTAATATATATTATACAATATTATGTCGGAAAATGCTAAATTAAAAAGATATTGAATTTTATAAAACTTGAATTTTATAAAACTTGATGACAAGAAATATACAAAGATAAATAAATAAATACTATAAATCTAATATAAATAAATACTTATTAGTACTTTTCATATTCTTCTTATCTTTTATTCAATAAAATTTAAAATTATAATATAAAATAATGATCAATATTACTTTATAAATATAAGTAATTTTTCAGTTAGAGTTTAATAAATAAATAATAAATAATTTAACAACAATTTGTTGCATTGATTGAATACATTAAAAATTATATGATTTTATTTAAAAAAAATAAAAATTAGCTTTATATGATATAATAATATATCTATTATAGATAAAAAATTTTATAAAAACTTTTTTTTTTTATTACATTTTTATAACATTCTTTTCTTAAAAAATATTTCAGTATATTTAAATAAAAGAGATAGTTTAGATATAATGTAAAGATCATGATAAAAAATTTTCTATCTTTATCACAAAATTTTTATTAGAAATTCATATAATAAATAATATTAATGTGTATATATAATGTGTATATAAGATAAAATATATTTTCTTAAAATTTTTAAATTTTTTTGACTTTATTTATATAGTATTTAAAAATCTTTTTTAATATTTGTATCCCTAAAATGTATACACAATTATATTATATATATATAATTAATATTAGAGGATTGATTCTAGAGACTATAAAATAATGATAAATATATTAATATTTTGTCTATATATATACGTACACAATTTATAGAAATATACATATATATATATATATATATATATATAAGTTGTGTACGTATATATATATATATAT